TTCCCCGCAGACCCGGTGGACGGCAGCTGACGGTGGAAGGCGTCCTGCTCTCCGGGGCTCCCGTTGCCATGGTGACCCTGGCCGGGAGAGGACGGGGCGCCCGCGGCGCTCCGGAGCTGCAGCAGTGCGGCAGCCAGGACTCGGTGGCGCCGCGGAGGAGGGGCTGGCTCACACCCCCTGGGGCAGCTGCCAGGAATCGCGCCTCGGTTAACGGCGTTTGTAGCAGGAAAACCCGGCCCGCAAGCTTGCGGGCAGCCGGCGCTTCAGGAGCTAGGAAACCAAGACCCCAGTCCTCGCGCCTGGAAAGCTTGTCCCCGCCCCTGCCTGCCCTTTCCTCCCCTTCCTACCCTATTTATTTTTTATATTAAAAACATATGTGCTATGAACTGAATTGTGTCCCCCCCAAAATTCTCATGTTGAATCCTAACCTCCAATATCACTGTATTTGAAGACGGTGCTTTTAAGGGGTTAACTAAGGTTAAATGGGGTTATAAGGATGGGGCCCTAATTTGATCAAACTGGTAGCCCTGCAAGGAGAGGAAGGGAGAGAGAGCCTTCTCCCTGCACCTGAGCACCCAGCAAGAAGGCAGCCGTCCGCAGGCCAGGCAACTAAGCCTGCTCGTGCCTTGACCCTGGACGTCCAGCCTCCAGAGCTGTGGGAAGATAAATTTCTGTTGTTTAAGCCGCCCTGTCTGTGGCATTTCTTATGGCAGCCCCAGCTGACTAATACAATATTCAGCATTAACATTTATAGATCCTGTTAAGTGCTTTTGATTTTAGAGACATCAATTTCTGGAAATAAACCCAAATAAGGGAATTATACAATATTTCAATTCTCACTATCAATATTTCATCCTTGAATAGGAAATGAACCAGGAGAAAAAGATGACAGCTTTCATTGCAATTATTGTGATCCTTTCATTGCAATTATTGTGATCCTTGTTTTATTGTTGTCATTGCAGCTTTCTTATTCTCAGGAAAATACAAAGAGCCCTGGCCGGTTGTCTCCGTGGTTGAGTGTCAGCTCACGGACTGAAGGGTCCTGGGTTTGATTCCAGCCAAGGGCACGTACCTCAGTTGCAGGTTCAGTTCAATCCCCGGTCCCAGGTGCAACCAATCCATGTGTCTCTCTCAGGTCGATGTTTCTCTCTCTCTCTCTCTCTCGCTCTCTCTGAAAAGCAATGGAAAAAATATCCTTAGGTGAAGATTTTAAAAAGGAAGGAAGAAAGAAAATATTTAAAAACATGCAATTATCTTCATTTTTGTAGATACTATAACTCACTCATGAAAAAACAGGGTTTTCTTTTGTTCTGTTGCAAGAGTGTCGCCTATCTTGACTCTAAGGCTAGATAGCTTGCCATCTCTCACACTGGCCTTCCCATGCCAGCTGGTTCCCACGCCCCTCATGGTGGGTCAGGGAGCAGATTGCATCAAAGCAGCAAACTTGCTCAGGATTGATGTCAAAAGACCTAAAACTGCTTTTAAAACATAAAGTCTATTTAAAAAAAAACACCTTTCTGGAGACAGTTGTTCGGTACAACAACAACAACAAAAGGCCAGAAATGGTCAGAATTGACCATGCACAGCCAGAAAGAAAGAAGAAAATCTTGGCCCATCTTAAAGTGTGTTAAAGTGAGGGACTTCAGCACAGAACTGTGCTGATGCAGAGGTCAGGGGTCGCTTGCCCATCCGCTACTGCGTTCGTTGGGTGCTACCGAAGGTGTCAACCCACATAACATGAATGTGTTTGAGCAGATGTGAGGCACCATCATGTTGATATGCTGTTATCAGTGCACAACTTCACAGGAAACCGTGGAGTGTAAATCCTCTGAAATTTTATAAGAATTCCTAGGAAATTTCAAAGAAAATGAAGGTGCTTCTTGCAGAATGATATGGAAAGTAATTTCTAGTTATGATCACTCTATGTGTGCTATAAAACCAGCTGGCTTTTCTTATTATAATGGTCTAGTAAGAGCCTGTGTTATTATGATAATAATAACTTTCCATTATATGCCAGGCACTATGCTAAGTAATTCACATCTGTTATTTCTACTTTTCACTACAGAGTTGAAAGACTAGAAACCAATAGATTGGGAAAGGGGTTCTGAGAAGTAAGGTGACTTGTCTAACTCACTCACATTTCCAGTATTTCCCTTTAAGGCTCTAAGATTTAAACTGACACTGATACCATTGTAATTAGCTAGTTATTAATAGGAAAGAAGCAAAGGTGAATCCAGTTATAGGCATGCATGTCATTTGGGCAACTCCACAAGGTGCAATTTCACACCCCAGGGAACCACCAGCCCATTTCCTGCAAAAGACGGGGAAGGGGTCTGACCAAGGGGAGATGGGCACATGCGCAGTGAAGTTGGGATGACTAGGAAAGTTGCCTGCCAATCAAACCTTGGAACAGAAATCATCAGCTAGAAGAGATGGAGCCAATGCAAGCCCATGAAAATTTGGGGATACATCATTCCCTAAACAAAGAATTTCACTCTCTTGTTGCACTTGCCTCTTGTTGCTCTTGGCTGTCGGCTCCCTTGCATTTGCCCATATGGCCCAGGGCCATGGGGACCCCACATGCAATGGACTAATGGACTGTGGCAGGGAGCTCAAGCTAAGCTAGGCTGTTGCTGGACTGGATTTGGCTCCAACAAGGAAAGGAAATTCTGGACGCTGGCTCTGATTATAGCTCTGCTGAAGCTCCAGCTGCACTTCTTCTTTGGGGGAACAAAGTGATATGGGACCATAGAAACTCAGAGGTATAATTCCACAGGCATAAAGCTTTCTACAGTATTGCATCCTCTCGTGTGAGTCTCAGAAAATTCTTTTTCTTGGGATATTGCAAGAATTCCACTCCCAGAAGCAGCAAGTGGGAACGAGGACCTCTCCCCACTGGTAACAACACCACAGCCCAAAAGAAGATCAATTTAAGAAGCATACCAGGACCTCTAAATTTGGCCTTATATTCAGTTGCATAAATTCTAGAATCACAACAACTGAATCAAATTAGTTTAATAATTGCTGTCAATGCATATTACCTTTCATTTGACTTGGATAATTTCTTGAACTATCTGGGCATTAATCCTAAGTGCTTATTCTCACCAATTCCCCTTGATGAACCAGGTAGAATGTGGCTTGAAAAAGGCAAATTAGATTTATAAAAACATATGTGTTTTCTGACTGAATTTTATTATTATTATTATTAATTCTCACCCTAGGATATTTTTCCATTCATTTTTTAGAGAGAATGTAAGGGGAGGGGAGAGACACAGATAGAGAAACATCAATGTGAGAGAGATACATCCATTAGTTGCTTCCTGCACTTGCCCCAACCAGGGCCAAGGACTGAGCCTGAATCCAAGATGCTTGCCCTTGACTAGAATCAAACTCGAGACCCTTCAGTCTGTGGGCCAATGCTCTAACCACTGAGCAACCTGCCAGGGCTGGGTTCAATGATTAAACAGACTTTCCAGCTTGGAAATATGGAAACTTTGACTCCAAACTGCTGCAGCTTTGAGTACTGGGGTGGGGTGGAGGGCTGTAGATAAAAAAGGGAGCCAGTGAGCCAGAATGGGAGCACACTGACCGGAGAGGAATCAGTGTAATTCCACTAGCCATTTTATGGGTAATAGATTAGAATTATTACAATATATAACCATAACCAATTTTAGGACATCTACATATCACTAATTGATGTAATATAAATAAATTGCCTTTCTGAGTTTTGTAATTTTCCATACACGTTGGTTCCAGGAGCCACCAAAGCTT